CTGCTTTTTTGTGTCATTGTTAATAATTGCTATGTGCTGTGCAGTTGAAGAGAGAAAAAGAAATATATAAATAAAAACAAAATGACAGAGAAAGGAAAATTTGATGAATGAGAGGGATGTGGTCCTCAAGTGAAGACCTTGGTGAGAAGGACTGCCTGTGAAGAGCCGGCAGCCTGCCAGCTCAAATCACATGGATGTTGATATTTGATGACTGTCATTGTCTTCCAGATCATTGAATGGCAGAGCAGTGCCACTCACTGTGCGCCTCGAGGGCATACCTGGAGGGCATACCTCGAGGGCACACTTCTTTCATGTCAGTGTCTCTTGCTTCTAAAAAGCTGAACATTTATTAAAGGCCAAATCGATATTTCTCCTTTCGAGCATCATGAATTAATCCTGGCTCTGTGCTTATTGCCTAATTTTTAATTGATCCAGTTACATTAGCTCATAATTTCCTACTGCTTAACTATGTTTTCCTTTTTTATTGTCAGATTTGTGTAATCAAGGTTGCATGCACACACAGGTGTGCTATACTGTGCTGTCTGTGTTCATTTGTAAAGCAGGCCACCGGTAATCTGAAGTTAACATTCACCCAACTTCACTAACATGTTTGTTAAAGCCATTTTTTTATACCTATCTCTGCCTCCTTTACACTCTTGATCAATCCACTTGCTTCTTGAAGTTCTGTCCCTGTTTCACAGTGCAGACCTTTTAATACTGAAGTTCCATTTCTTGCGCCTGTGAGTTGCTGCCTCTGATGGCCAGGTGCAGGTATCATAGCCTCGACCGAGTTTCAGGTCAGTTTGGTTTGGGGCCTCAACAGAGCTTGAGAGGGGCTGAGGGTGGGGGGTCCTGTGGGGTCCTGGATCAGGACAGGTAGGGCCTCCTACTCAAAAGATGTTTCCCCAAGAGGAGCAGCCGAGGCAGGGGGAGGTTGTGAGAACGACCTCACAGAACAAACCATTGCTGGCCCAAGGCAGTCACACTTTAAGGGAATAGATCATTAGGTGTAATTAGGGTGTTCACATTGTCACGTGCCCCCCACCCCACCCCACCCCAACTGCCCAAGAATGAATAAAATCACCAGATACACCCCCTGCTCACTCTCTCTCACTCACACACACACACACACACACACACACACACACACACACACACACCAGCTCCCC